ACTTACCACACCTACTGGCGAGGAAGTATTGTGATCGCCAAAACATATAAAATGCGATTTGTTTTTTTTTATGTGATATGACATGTAGATCACACAAAAAAACATGTAACTTATTTCCGTCGGTTTGATTGTCGGTCTGTCCGCAAATCTTTGGTCCGTCTATAACCTGGAAAATACTGGCCAGATTTGGATGAAATTTTTACACAGAATTACAAATGTGCCAATAAGGAAAATCGATGCAGTGCCAGTGGCGGCGGTGCAAAAATCAAAAAAAGAACAAAAAAATAGAAATCGCTCGAACTTCGTTTCTTAACGTTTTCGAGGCACCTAACCATTTTGGAAAAAATATTTAGGGGTGAAAAAAATGATTATTTAGAAGTTGCTATGAGTGCGTGTGGCTGTATCGCAATTTTTCAAATCCGTAAGATTCATACTTCTAAATAACAACAAAATTGGAGTATATTGGTCTAGTATTTCCGGCCATCACACATTACGAAATATAAATGTTATTTTTATGCGTAAAACAAAGGTTACGTTTTTTTCTTCTAAACAAATTCAAACATTTCGTATCTGCGAGTAATTGAACACATGTGCCACGATATTCGGAAAACATAAGTTACTATACACATTTTAAAACAAAGCGGTTGTGTCTATCATCTTTTGTTGCGAATTACTCACAAATCCGAAATGTTTGAATTTGCTTAGGAGAAAAAACCTAACCCATCCGTTTTTGCATAAAAATAACATTTATCTTCTTGAATGGTTTGCAATTCATATCAGAAAGGTAAACTAGTGTATTTTGCTACAAAATGCCCTTTGAACTAACCCTGTATAGCTCAATAAACTAGTAGTGATGGCCGGAAAACAGGTGTTTTGGGATAAACAATTAGAAATTCTCAAAGACTACTTGATCAGTCTACTCCATTTTTGTTGTGGTTATTTAGAAGTACGAATCCTACTAATTTGAAGAATTTCAAATATCTGCGAGAAACCATCGTCGCATTACCAACAAGTGCCAAAACCTGCAGTTTGCCTTCGGTCATAACTGTTTTGCTATTAGTCGGATCTTTAACATGTGGTTTCATTTTGTAGGTCTCATAAATATGTTACCTGAAGATCTCATATGAAGAGTTTTTTCGTTCCTGCCAACACTTTCGATTGAATCCCCAAAACACGTTTTCTCGTTCTTTGTTGTCGAATAAAAAGTTTTTCCACAAAAATTGGTGTACCCATTTTAGGTGTCCATATTATTTGAATACCACCTTGAACAACTTGCAGCAATAAAACCAGACTTTACAATTATTTCGCAAACCAGTATTTTCGTCTAATATGATTAGACTAGGTAGAGAAATGTTTTCGACAAGCGTTCTTGCGTCTAACTGTCTGACTTCAACGGCCGGCGTGCCGGTTCTTATAAGTGTCCTCGCATGGCTGACGCTCTGCCGCACCTGACGCATCGTGCGTTCAGGTATTGGGGGAGGCGACGTTGTCAGATGGACGGTACTACAAGTAGGGCAGGGAAATAATGTCTATGAACCAATTGTATGTTCGTAACTAACATTTTTCTCAGAGGGTCTAAGACAAACATGCTGCTTTCGTATGGTGGACCAAAGGCAACCAAACTTGGGCAGCTGTTTCTTGCTTTTTTGCCAGCTCATCAGCATGGTCTAATCTTGGCCTCTGGGACGACGAACGAAAACATAGCAACTATTCTTCATCCATGATAAAGGTCTATGGCACTGTGTTATTTCAATAGGGTCTAACGTGAACTGAACATAATATTTCACCGCGTTGTATGAGAAGTACAGAGTCAACCTACTTGTCGCCATGTTTTCATGCACCTACAGTAGTAACTTGATAACAAATAATAGTACAACTCTGAAATTATTTAAGAACATTCCACTTTACTTGCTCGGTTTTTAGAACATGAAGGTATTATTTTGAAAATGTTTCACCCAACAATTGTTTCATGTTGAATATTGGGATATTTATTATACGCCCAAAACTTATGTTTCCAATGTAGCTCTGTGAATATGTGGCTAATTTTAATTTCTATTCCAACTGTTTAAATAAGACCAATGAAAAGATCACTGATTCCGTTACCTTAATGCTAAGAGTCAGCTAATTCAAGAATTAGCTAGAACGCGTTTTCTTCATCAAGGTACAGTACCGTGTTTTGGAAGCATTAAACTGTACAATATTGTTGCGTACCCAAGCATTGATAACCTCCAGGTATCTGGTGTGAAAGAAAGTCGCAGCTGGACTACTTCTTGTCTCTAGCTCGCTCGGCTTGTCACAATAAATTAGTAAATATGGAGTGCTGTCATCAGCAAAGCTGTGGATTGAGTTGACCGTACAAGAAAGGAGGTCGTTGAAATGTAAGAGGAACAGTGTGGGATACAAGACCGATCCCTGGAGAACATCCACGTTGTGGGATGAAGAGGAGAACCCGTCAACCACGACGCATATCTTGCGGCCAGAGATAAAGTCAGCCACCCATCAGCACAGCTTCTCTGGGAGACAAAAGGATGGAAGTTTGCATAAAAGGGCAGCATGCCACAGCTGATCGAATGCTTTCGTGATATCAAAAGCATAGACATCAGCGTCACCATAAAACTGGATGAGTTTACTCCACAGTTGCGTGACATAAGCTAGGAGGTCCCTCGTAGATCGCTGGTGCCGGAAACCATACTACCTGTCACTAATCAAACCGTGACGTTCAAGGTACTTTAGAAGCTCTCAATTTATGCATATATTTACGAGTTTACTTATAACAGAAAACATACCTAAGGTCTGTAGTTGTTAGGGTCCGAGTTGGCAGCACAGATCTTATCAAGCACTTCCGCCTTAGCCTTTGAGTCGGTTTCAATCGTTGCATCTTCGTACGTAAGCGGTGGGAGGGTACGAAGGCGGTGGGAGGGTACTCTTTGAGAAGTTCCTTTCAATCTGCTCGATCAGCGTCCAGAAAGACAGACTGCTGTCGCGCTGCGACATAACCCTGTTCGAAAATTTTACATCCTGCTGTTCTTTGGCATTGCGAACCGCTTCGTTATATCTGTTTCTGGACTTGAGACATCGGTTTCTCTTCTCTCTTAGGTTTTGTAAGAAGGTTCTTGCTTGATCTTCTGCCGACCAGCAGTTCCGCACGATTTGTTGGACCAGCCAATGGACCCTGGTTTAGGCACTTTCACTATACGAGAAGAAATACATCTCCATCACAAAATGTTGTTTCGATTATTGTCAGCGAAACAAACATCAGGAAAAGTGAAGAAAGTGCCTGATTCCTTCTCTGTCAGCAATTTTGCGACCTGGGCGAGTTTCTGCTGCCATATCTATTTCTAACCGAAACCTGGCCTCCACGATACCGTGATGTGAGTTACCCAGAGGAGACAAGTCAGCAGTGCGGTAAGCTACAGGATGCATGGTCAGAAAGATATCCAGCAGATAACTGGCGTATGAAGAAATGCTGGGTAAAAAAGTAGGGCTCGTCACCAGCTGGGTAAGACCTTGGGTAATAGCGAACGCTTGAACAGCACTGCCTGCTGCAACGGTCTTGTTTGATCCCAACCAGAGCTCATTGTGGGCATTGAAATTATCGAGCAGAACTACCTCCGAAGGCGAGACATCAATGTTCAGCAAGGTATTAAATTAGCTCATTCCAGTTATGGTCCAAGGGAAAGCAATAGATGCAGAAGATAAATTTGGGGAATGGTTTGAAGTTAAGGCGAAGCCACAGAATGTCCATCCGGCCTGATTCCAAAGAAACGTTGCTAGAGCAGGAAATACTGCTGCGGACAACTCCCCTGTTCTTCTTCATATTGGAGCAGAATCGGAGATTTGGGTATCCACCAAGGAAACCATGCTGCACAGCTTATGGAGGAGATTTTGTCATCGATGTTGATCTCTCGAGTCCACCCTCCACCTGGACAGACTGAATTTATGTCCGGAATTGTTAATACTCGATGGATCCATCATCATCTATTTCTTTGTTGTGAAAAGAAAGAGAAGAGAAGCGACTGCGTAGCTTTGGTGTGAAAATATGTGGACATACTTAGACCGCCTCGGTCAAGTGGTCCTTATCTATCACCTTCTTTTTGCTTGTGAATGATCTGAAACAGACCTGAAGTGTCCCGTTGGCGGACTTGTACCGTCATCCGGCAATCGGTACTGAGGTATTCCTTAACGCGGCTACAATCACTTGAATGGGAATTGTAGAATTTAGGGGTGATATCATCAGCTTTTCGTCAACAGTTTTTCTTCAACAAATTAAATTATTCATTTATGATGTAATGTAGCAAACAAAGACGCTTGTTTGTTGTGTATATTTAATAGGTAAACGATTATTTTTACATAAAAACACATGTAACACAGAAAAAGTTACAATGTATTTTTCACCGTAAATGGTAAAATAACACAAATCATGTGAATCTAACAAATTTTAATTTTTTTGTGTAACATCCCAGGGCATGACGTGGAACGATCTTTCAGGACACGGCCCATGGTGGCTGGTGACACCAAAACTATTTATAGGTTTTACAAGCTCTAATAAGTTGGTCGTACTGCGAACGTATCGTTTGTTTTATGCGGTTTTATTTTTCCCAAAAGTGAAGAATGAAGTGAACATAAATGGGAACCCTGAGCTATTGTTAGAATGTGCGATTTCCATAGAGTACGACTGATTTTGTTCCTACTACAATTCAACACATACATTGCCTGTTCAGTACAATATGATGCCCATTGCAGTGCAGATATTTTTTTGTATGTCAGAGGATTGGAGGATTGGAATTCGAATTCCAGATTTAAAATCAAATGATTCTTGACAAAATAATCCATTAGCTACGATATTTACTCATATGAGCTACAACCGCTAGAATTTTCTGTTCTAGAATGGTGACCATTGTGCTTGTGATAGTGTAATTTGCGACAAACAATTGCAAACGTAATATGATATGAATCTGATGTATAATATCATAACATATCAAATATATGCTAGATAATATATTATCAGATATCATGAACATAACAGCAGAAGCGGTGACCGCAGTAGTAGACTATTCGGTCTCCTGATCAGTCGCCGTGCGCTGTGCGTGTTCAAGTCCCGCCCCAGGAGAAATTTTTCTCTTGGCTATGGATGTTGTGATTGTCCGTAGGTGATAGATGGTCTCTGACTGTCGAACGAGGAGGTGCCACCCGGCGGTTCTGGTAGGCGGAGCCAGAATGTGTGCATGTTGCATGCACACGTGTTTCCTCGCCAGAGACCGTGTGGCGTTCCCCCTTTCCCATGTATCCCCCTATAGCTCCACGGTACCCAATGGGTGCTTAGGCTTTAGGCCTTCGTGGTAGTTGAAGTATAAAAAAAAATATAACGAATTCTGGATATATCGGAACATAAATTATGTTAAAACATACAGCATAATATGTTGAGTAAAATATCTTTTAAATAACTTCACGTTGATTACAAAATTACCTACGGTAAGTTGTGTTTTTCCAGCGAACCTTCGGTCGGATCGTGCAGATAACCCAACTCTTCCCAGTAGCTGCTGTGATATGGCAGATTCTTTGTTGTGAAGTATAATTTAAACAGTACATGCTAATGATGATGCTCAATTGTTAACTGGCGCCGGCGTCTAGACATCGCTGACTGCGTCGTGGCGTCAAAGATCGTCGTTGGCGTCGACGTGTCGCCACCCTGTCACCATGTCGTAAGGGCGCCTCGCAGTCGACAAAATGGGTTAATAGCAGCTAGATATTTACATATTAAGGTTGTTCGCATGCTCGTGGCAATCTCGCTCGTACCCCAGCCTCCGCCAGCCTTTCACGCCTTTCTGTCTTGTCATTTCACGCTTCACTACGTATCGCACTCCTCACTCGCCTCCAACCCCTATTCCCCTATTTGCTCACCCCCCTCTCACTTCCTGCCCGTATTCTAATTCGATGCGTTCAGGTATGCGAGCATAACGACAACGAAATTTATTAATAGACTTTATCCAACACATTCCTGTACATAACTTGTAGATATAAACGACAGGCAGGATTACTTGAACGTAGAGTTGTCCGACTTGATCCGATTGAAAGAATCCTGTGGGGGATCGGGTCGGACCGTATCCAACCTCTCAGTCGAATCGGGTCCGATTGAAGGGAAATACAAAACCATTCCACCGCATCGCATTTGTTTTGCGGACCAGCGACGCGGCGATCGGTCCTGTGAATATTATCAAGAGATACGGCAAGTTCGCGGATGCTATGAGCTTCTAAACATTGAACGGTTTCAAATATCCAACTGACAGAAGAAATAAACGGTAATGTACACAACAAACTTACAGCTGTAATACGATTTATACGAACAATGAAGTCGTAATAATTTAGTTTAGATTGTTTACACTCCAGTTTACACAATACAGAATGTTGTTGTATATAGAACAAAAGACTAATTGAGGGGTTTGGAAGTAAAAAGGTTCAAGTGCACTTTTTTAATTAAATGGTCTAAGTGCAGAATATCATACCTAAAGCATATCCTAACTTGGTGGTAAAATGATTTAAATGCAGGCAACGTTCCCTGGCGCCATCTCTCATAGTATTTGAGAACATATCAAAATATCCACTAATACAGTATGTGTACTTGAACCATTTAACTTCTAAGGCTTTGGCAACTATTTTTAATGTTTTACGTGTGACGTGATTTCAACGTTTTACTTATTCATTTTGCAGTGTTGGTAGTGTTATAATAATAAACAAAATGAGTACTGATTGGGAACGCAAGGTATCTCTCAGGAGAATTAAGCATCAATAAGAGGTACAAATTATACCAAGAGTTTTGTATTGACGAACAAGAATTACCAGTAAAAGAGTCCTATTACATGCATGCATACTTTCAATACGGAATTCAATCAGTCGTTGTGACAATTTACAAAATTTAATAAATATTCTACAAATGAAGACGTGATTAAAAATGCCAAGCAAGATCTCGAGCTGCACCAAAGAAAGGCCCAGAAAGCAACAGATACCAAAAAAGCTGATATTGCTGAAAATAAAAATCATTCTAAAAATACGTCTGTAATTTGTTTTGATTTGCAACAGGCATTGCCAACGCCATTGTTAACCACCTCTAAAGTATTTTATCTTCGTCAATTATGGACGTTTAATTTCTGTGTCTTTGACTTACTGACTGGAAAAAGTTATATGTATGTATGGAACGAAACTATTGTATCCAGGGGCTCACAGGAGATAGGATCATGTTTACTAAAATTTGTGCAAAGCCTGCCATCTTCAGTGACGAAGAGTATTGCATACAGTGATTCTTGTGGAGGACAAAATAAGAATAAAAACATTGCTAAACTATTTAGTTTTATTGTTCAAGCTACACATATATCTTAGATTCATCACAAGTTCCTTGAACCCGGGCACACTTACATGGAATGTGACCGTAATCGAGAAGAAAAAGGGCAAATCCCTCAAGTTTTTGTCCCCTCAGATTGGGAGACTGTAATAAGAGGCCAAATTTATTCTGTACAATATGAACAAAGACGATTTTTACTCTTTTTCGCCGTTCAATGAAATTATGAACGATCCAAAAAAAAAATAGTGACAGTTGCCCCTTAAAATGGAAAGAAATTTGCTGGTTTGCTTACTATAAAAGTGAAAGGCTAACATTTAGATACAAGAGTACCCTAAACATTGATGTAGAGTTTAGCAGTTGCTTAATGGCAACCTCAAAAGTTGGGCGTCCGTGTTTTAACTTTTCAATACTAAAGCCTTTGAATGGCACTTCAATAAAGATTAAAGTCGCCAAGAACAAAAACTTGCTTAGCTTATTGGAATACATTCCGCACATTCACCATACATTTTATAAAAACATGAAGCACGATGGGAAAGCATTAACAAAAAAAGGAAAAAAGAAACAAACACAGACCCTGACATCAAGCCAAAAAGTACCTGATATAGATGAACCCCAACCAAGACCAGCTGATTCAGATGAAGAAAATGATGAAGAGATCCAAATATTAGATTCTGATTATGAATAAGAAATTTTGTTATAGATTATTTTTAAATAATGTTTGGTTTAGTACGGTAGTTACACTTGAATCATGTTACCACCATAATTTTTGTAACATGTATAATGATTCAAGTACATTTTTCCAAAAATTACAATAAAAAAGCAAAATTAAGATAATGTTTTTTGTTTGTAATGTTTTACTGGCATTTAAATAAACTTAATATGGTATCATACTTTGATAAATTTATTCCTGGAATTTTCAAATTCAAGTAAACTTTGAAGCCATTTATCTCAGAACTACTAAAAATGTACTTAAACCCTTTTACTTCCAGGCCCCTCAATTGTCATACCCACTACTTTTTTATTATTTATCAATCATCCTTATTATAGAACAGATGTTAAAAACCTTCTCCGTAAACAATAGACTCTAATACTGTATAATGGATTTACCTTTCAATATTTAATTAAATCTGATGATCAATTGTTGGACGCTTTTATGGCCTCGTCGATTTTCATAGTTATCTACTGTTCCGTGTCAGCGCTCTATTTTGAGGTTATGTTGCAAATGTCCATTTACAGCAAACTATTAATGCTTTTGATTTATATGTTATATATCCAGGAATTTTCTACAATCCGAAAAGAAAACAAAGCCTCACAATACAGGAGCGCTGTCGCTGACACGGAACAGTAGAAATCTAGAAATATCCCAGCCTTTCTGAAGGAGAGAAAAGACTATGAAAATTGAGGAGGCCATAAAGGCTGACGATGCGGTCTTGAAAATCATCAATCTACCGTACATCTGGCAAATAATTTGTACGAATTCAAACCAGTCCAGACCCAGTCTGTTAGTCGAATTGCCGTTTGGTACGCAAGTCATTCAGAACGAAATGGGTTTAACATTGGAACGAATCCAGGTTCTACCTAGATCCTTTAATGGACCCAGACCGCCCAACACTACTTTGAAAGGGCTATCACTTGTTGCGAAATCGCTGCATTTATAGTGAGCGATAAAGAAAATAGAAGACCCAGCTGTTGAAAGTTTCAAGATAGCGCTAGGATGCCTTTTTAGAACATCATTAAATCGAACGAGGGGACGTGTGTACCTCATATTAAAGCTCATTGTACGTTATTTAAAAACCTAGACTATGGGTTCCATCAGTGAGGCCAACGATTCCAGGAAATCTATTTTTTATTGCAGAAATACCGCTATGTTCTATCTGTTGGCCATTTTATGATTTCTCAAGATTACTCAAGAAGTTGATCATTCTGGATATAACTGCGCTCTTAAGCAAACTTCCATCCTATGGCCTCCCAGAAAGGCTTTGCAGGGGTGGCTGACTTTATCTCTGGCCCCAAGATATCCATCGTATACTAAGTGACATATAAATCCGAACACCCAGTTTAAATGGTTTTATTTTAATAAAATTTTGTATAAGTACGTAATGAAGCGTAATAAGTAAATGATACAAATTTCAAAATGATTGCACTGCTTTAAAGCCCTTTGACCTTTAATAATGTGTGCATGCACCCTGATGTGCTACGCATTCTCCAACGCGTCTAGGCATGCTTCTGATCAGGTGGTCAATGTCCTGTGGTATCTCATTCCAGGCAACCACCAACTCCTCTCGAAGTGCTTCTAGAGTCTGAGGAGGTCGTTGCAAATTGAGCAATCTCCTACCCATCATATCCCACACGTGCTCAATTGGGGATAAGTCGGGAGATCTTGGTGGCCATGGTAACAATGTGACATCATTATGTTGAAAGAAGTCTATTGTGACTCTTGCAACATGTGGTCGGGCATTATCTTGTTGGAAAGTTGGATCTGCCAGGGTGTCAAGATAGGGTAAAAGATGGGGTTCTAGAACTTCGTGGATATAACGCTGCGCGTTCATGTTACCTCTGATGAAGATTAAAGGTGACCTGGAACCATAAGCTATAGCACCCCAAACCATAACTCCAACAGTGTGATGAACATGTCTTTCAACAAAAAATTGTGGATTCCTCCTTTCACCACGTCGCCTTCTAACCCTGGCACGACCAACGTGCATGCCTAAACAAAATCGAGACTCGTCACTAAAGACAATACTGTTCCATTCCTGATCCCAGAGTGACCGTTGTCTGCACCACTCAAGGCGATTACGTCGGTGTTCTCGAGTTAAAGGGAGGACCCAGTGTGGCCGGTATGAAAACAAGCCAAAACTTCTCATTCGTCGGTAAACACTTCGCATGCCAATAGGTCTTCCGTGTTCTGCAAACCATTGATTTGCAATGG